GCATGGGTGATTCTGTGGGACCTCCTCTATCCAATGGTACCAGGCACGACTCGGTGGCTAGCAGAGTCTAACGAATAAACATCAGTGTTGATATAGCCTACAAGAGTCTTCAACAAAGTATTGTTGTGCATCGCAATGAAAAGATAACAAACATCAATATGCTTACAGCATTTTGTATATTACTATCTACCCCTTAGTATAATGTATATTGTTCTATTCATGTTTTATTTATGCACCTTCTTGCCAATGTAAATTCCGTGTCTGTTCACACGAAGAAACACTTTTCTGAATAAATTAAACTTTCATAAATATTCAGTTCACGTGTTACATTTGACTAGTGTATAAAATGAGATTATATACCATCCAACAACTATATACTTAAAATATGTCAACTAAAAGTTGGTAATAAGAATGTAATGCCCGTTCAAGTCAATGATGAGCAAAACTTCCAACTCGCATTCAATACTAAGTGCCTTGTTGTAACTCCGATATAACTTTATTTTAGCAAATTATGAATATAATGACACCAACGTAGCTGAATAAGACAATATACCAACTTTGACAATGCGGTGGAGGACGTGGTCAATTATTATTTGAATTTCTTGAAAAGTTACGGTTTCCAAGATAGGTTTCCGTATTTCAACAGTAGGACGTTGCTTCGGCTACATCAATATCAAATTAGTTTAATGTTATCAATGCAATGCAATAATGCATTATAACAGAATATATCTTGAATAAACGCATAGAGCATTTCAACTTCATATAAATAGTTCTTATTATTGATTTACCTTGATGCTTCAATGGCGAAGCAACAGGACGATATTCAAGTCAGAAAATGTACCGCATTTACCTCAATATTTTAGTCTGCAATACATCTAAATTAATTTGGTTTAATTTAAAATAATCAGTGTGATAATGTCGGTAAACAATATTAATTTGCAGTCTATATTAGTCTATGTAAGTTGCAGCTCTTTTCACATTTACATCGTATATACATATATATTACATAGCCTAATATTGTTTATGTATCAACTATTATTAATTGCCTATTGTTTCAGTAGGCCATTATTATTTGAAAATCATCTTTGAAAGTGAAAGATTCTTGGCTGTGAAACATAGCCTATAAGTTTGTTGTTCAGAACTTCCCTGATGCCGCTTCGTTATACAAAAGCAACAGGATTATCAGAAAAGAATCAGAATCAGAAAAGTGTTTATTCGCCATTGAATGTGTGAACATACAAGGAATTTACTGTGGCAGGAAGGTGCTTACATACAACATGTGAATATAACAATATAAATTAAACTAGGGATGAGGGGGTAGAGGGATAGTATGTACAAAAAAAATAAAAATAAGATACCAAAAACAACAGTGCAATAGAGCAAAAAATGTAGTGCAAATCAGGCAATGTGCAAAATATTCTTGTCATTCATGTTACCTCAAAATTGTCTACAATAAGTAAACATTTATTTGGTTTAATTTAAAATAATCATTGTGTTTGTATAATATCACGTTGCATGATATTCACTTGCAGAAAATGCGACTTGGTTTCGGTGTTTCAAGCGCCACCTGGTGACAGACAACAAGATATATTGGTGAAAAAAATACAAGCAAGATGGCGGATAGCCACTTAGCACATAACTTCGGCAAAATAGCTTTAAATTCGCATTTCCAGTGATTATTTTAACCTCTTCTTGACAGGTGTCCCGCCGGCGGGACAGTACACTAATCTACACCAACTCTTACACACAGATTGCAAAATTACGAAACGTTCCGTTTTATAATATATGACATGTTTATATTCTCCATAAAGGTAAGAATCTCCCCTTTCTAACACAGACCGTTTTATTAGCAATTGAAAGGACAATGAAATACAAGATGGCGGACAAACGCGACCAACACCAGTGCAGACATTTGTTATCCATAATGAAACTATTGTACTTACATCAGCCAAAGTCGATCATTTTTGCATTCCAGATAGTCCAAGGGATATAACCAGCAGTGTTTCTTTTGATAAAATCCATGATAATGACCAAAAATAATCCATTTTCTTTGCCGAGTTGGAAACGTGATTCTCAAACTGAACAACATGATGCGGCACTCTTTGCTCAAATACACCGCTTCATCTCTTGTTTATCCGGGAGTAATTGTAGTCTTTGTGAAGATTAGAAACTCATTTACCCATAGAAACTGACCCCGTCCTTCTAGCTTGTAATTTGACCCAGTAGGAGTGACTCATGTAAGGAGAGAGAAACTCACTATTACGCGCGGGGAGATGGGGCAGTCCTAGTTTGAGTGGCGATATTTCGGTCCAATGAAAACGTACGGATTTGAAACAAAGCTTGGTAGTTAGCCAATGAGCAGGCCTTTCTGTCGATATGCGACTTTTTACTCTCGTCTCTATTATGTAAGAGCTATGAGTGGAAAAGCGGACAGTGGAAAAGGAGTACATGAAAGAGAAGATATTGGAGGAAATACAGATGGAAAGTCCAGTGAAGTTTGATGAGGACTCAATGAAGAAGTCAATGAGCAAGCATTGTTTTGACTCGACGGAAGAAGCAATGTTTACTCTAATGGGTGCTGCATTTACATGGGTGAGTGAAATAAGTTATTGTTGTTGATACCGAAATAGATAATTATAATAAAACTATAACTGTAATTAATTACTTTTTCTAAAGTGAGAAAGCTGATTATTTTTTTAGTAAAAGTACACTGAATTAATTTCTGTTTTCAACCGTAGTTTGTGTGTGTGTGTGTGTGTGTGTGTGTGCGTGCGCGCTCGTGTGTGTGTTGGATGAAATAGATAAATAGATAATTAGAATAAAACTATATTTGTAATTAATTACTTTTTCAAAAGTGAGAAAGCTGATTATTTTTTTAGTAAAAGTACACTGAATTAATTTCTGTTTTTTTTAACCGTTGTGTGTGTGTGTGTGTGTGTGTGTGTGTGTGTGTGTGTGTGTGTGTGTGCGCTCGTGTGTGTGTGTGTGTGTGTTGGATGAAATAGATAAATAGATAATTAGAATAAAACTATATTTGTAATTAATTACTTTTTCAAAAGTGAGAAAGTTTATTCTTTTTCCAGTCAAACAACACTGAATGAATTTCTGTTTTCAATCTGTGTGTGTGTGTTGGATGAAATAGATAATTCTAGTGAAACTATAACTGTAATGAATTACTTTTTCCCTGCCCAGCCATTGAGAGGTGCAAAGAGGCCAGCCCAGAAGCAGATGGATGCCCATTGAGGGAGCACCACTGAGGGAGGACCTATCTGATGTACTGATTGGATATTACAACGTTCTCCAAGTCGATGAAGTAATACAATACCTTTTATCATTTTATTGACATTGCTGTTGTGAATGCATTCAACCTACATCAGGAACTGTCAAAGAGTTGTAGGCAGACTCATTTGACACAAGGTCAATTTCGAGAGCTGCTTGTTCGGGAGCTTGCAGACTCAGCTCCTGCACCAGCACCAGACACTGATACAGCTCCTGCCCACTTCCCCACTGCAGGGATTTTGTATATAGTTTTATTCTCACTGTGTGCCATTTGTTTTGATTATGCACCTATGCCAGTGTTTGTTGATAACTTTGATCTTTAATAAAGTTGTAATTTCCCTTGCATCATTTGACCAGTTTGGCCACTTGGGTACATTTCGGGCACCGTCTGAAGGACACTTAGGGTTCCTCTTACAAAACAAAATGCCAGTGTTGGTTGATAACTTTGACCTTTACTAAATAGTTGTCATTCCCCTTGCATTTTGTATGGTCTTCATAGCACAAATGCATCATTTGACCAGTTTGGCCAATTTGGCCACTTGGGTACATTTTGGCACCGTCAAAAGGACACTTAGGGGTCCTCTTACAAAATGTTAGCTTGTGGGCTGGTTGAATATTCAATTAGCCTGTCCTTTTGGTGGCATAATGTTGTCCCCTAGGGGAACACATGTGAGGTGTCTGCAGTATGATACCTCATATTATAAGGGAGATATTGCCTTTGAAAGTGGATGAAATATAAAAAAACAAAAAAACGTATGTTGTTTTTTTGTGTTTCACCTCATGCCAGATATTCTGTGTTATATTTTTCTTTATTAATTGAACATTTACACAAACTTCAGAGTGTCTTCTTTCAAATGACCTTCACCATATGTTCCTACATGGTTCTGGTTTTGAGCTATAGGCATTTAGATTTGGGTATGTCATTTTAGGCGGAAATTGAGTTTGGGTGCCCGGTCAAGAAGAGGTTAACAGGAAAATATAAAGAGGAGAACGTGTTTTTGAGACCCGAGGACAGCGGAGAGGGCAGAGAGAGTGTGTTTCTGAGACCCGAGGACAGCGGCGAGGGCAAAAGAGTTTGTGTTTCCTGGGACCCGAGGACAGCGGGTAGGAGATTGTGTTTCTGAGACCCGGAGACAGGGGGAAAGGCCAGGGACAGCGTGTTTCTGAGATCAAAGGACAGAGGGGAGGGCAGGAGAGTGTCTGGGAACTACACACACGCCGCGAGTCTCCAGCCCTGTCCGGCAACCATCAGGGTCCCAGTGACCCTAGGCTGCGTTAGGGTTACCTAGGTTGACCCGAGGACGACGGGAGTGTGGGGGAATCCTACGCTCGGGTCGCCGGGACCCGAGGGTAGTGTGAGGGATAACGGTGGCACGGCAACGATGTCATCCTCTGGTGACAGAAAATTGGTGGAATGAAACCTTCCCTTAGAGCACTACCGACCCCCTGGTGGTGACTTGCCGTGATCGTATAGTGGTTAGTACTCTGCGTTGTGGCCGCAGCAACCCCGGTTCGAATCCGGGTCATGGCGTGACTTTGCCCAAAAAACATGAAAAATTCATGTTACTACTTGATATTTAACTCATGATATGTACGTTGCAAGTGCCTTACCAGCATAGCAAACGCTTTCCTCTGGTCACGTAGGACACATACGAACAAGTATTTAATCTGAAGCAGACCATTGCGCATTCATGATCGAATACTGGATTCCACATTCGGAGGAGCCAGTGGCGCAATGGATAGCGAGTCTTACTACGGTTCAGAAGTTTCTATGTTCGACTCCTGGCTGGCTCGTGGAATACTTTAGCTTACCTCATGCAAGCTGGTCGAATGTGGCATGCTGCACTGTGCCTATTTTAAATGGTTGGACATCTACAAACGGCCTTGCGTGAAACTCACTGACCGACAACGTAACTCGTTCAACTTCTTATGCTTTTCACGGAAGAGATGTACTCGCAAAATTGCAGACGATAAAGATTTCCATGACGAATACATTTCGTTTATTTTGCCACCGTGTTGCCTGTATCTCTGGACGTCGAGCATCGTTGGTCCCATATGGTCTAGCGGTTAGGAATCCTGTTTTTCACCCAGGCGGCCCGTGTTCGACTCCCGGTATGGGAACGCACATTCTTGAAGGCGCATTTAAAAAATCCCAACGTCTCATATTGATCAAGATCTGGTACCTGCATTATATCATTATGCAAACATTTATATATTTTTACATTTTAGGTTTGAAAGTGCTTCAGTGTTAGTTTGAAAGTTGTCGAATAGACTGTAGCGTGGCAATGTCTTGTTCAGAAGTAGACACAACTGCTCGCAGACCTATGGTAACTTTGGTGTGATTTTGTAGAAGTAGAGTGTCCTACAGTATGGTCTCATTTTAAAATGCACCAAAGTACGCAGAGGCAACAAGGGTCAATTCAAGTACTGGTATTTTAGTGGTAACTGCCGATGTAGCAAGCGCCTAAAACAATTCTTGTCATTGACTGAACCTAGTTGATATATGCATTTAGGAGTATTTGGAGTTGTTTGTAAAAATTCTTGGAATGAAGCCTTCCCTTGGAGCATTACCGACCCTCTGGTGGTGACTTGCCGTGATCGTATTGTGGTTAGTACTCTGCGTTGTGGCCGCAGCAACCCCGGTTCGAATCTGGGTCATGGCTTGATATTGCCCAAAAAAACATGAACAATTCATGTTACTACTTGATATTTAACTCATGATATGTACGTTGCAAGTGCGTTACCACCATAGCAAACGCTTTCCTCCGGTCACGTAGGACACATACGAACAAGTACTTAACCCTCCCGTTGTCCTCGCATCGTGTACACACCCGGAGTCGAGCGGGTCAGAGTGATCTCTTTTCACAGCCCTCAGATTTTTACAAAAAGGAGGAGGCCAAAATACAACAACGTGCGTGTTTTTCACTGTTATCGGTTTATTATTATTATCGCTGTTAGTAATTATCTGGGAGGACAAAAAAAAACACCCTGGGCGAGGCTCGAACTCACAACACCGGCATCTAACCCCGCCGTTGTCCTTGCATCGCGTACACACCCGGAGTCAAGCGGGTCAGAGTGACCCGTGATCTCTTTTCACAGCCCTCAGAGTATAGCCAGAAAAGATGAGCCCGAAATACAAAGACGCGCGCGCGTTTCACGGTCGTCCATCTATTATTACTATCTTTATTAGTATTTATTGGCGAGGGTGAAATAAAATACCGCGGGGGATGCCCTCGTCCGGGGCCTCTTCATCCTTCGTTTCTGAGACCCGAGGACAGCGGGCAGGGCAGAGAGAGTGTGTTTCTGAGACCCGAGGACAGCGGCGAGGGCAAAAGAGCATGTGTTTCTGAGACCCAAGGACAGCGGGCAGGGCAAGAGAGTTTGTGTTTCTCAGGACCCGAGGACAGCGGGGAGGAGAACATGTTTCTGAGACCCGAGGACAGCGGAGAGGGAAGAGAGAGTGTGTTTCTGAGACCCGAGGACAGCGGGGAGGAGAACGTGTTTCTGAGACCCGAGGACAGCGGAGAGGGCAGAGAGAGTGTGTTTCTGAGACCCGAGGACAGCGGCGAGGGCAAAAGAGCGTGTGTTTCTGAGACTCGAGGACAGCGGGCAGGAGATTGTGATTCTGAGACCCGAGGACAGGGGGAAAGGCCAGGACAGGGAAAATTGTGATGGAATAAGGAGATGTACTACAAAGTCAACAAATATATGAACAACATTGCTTGAAAACATCTTACCCAGATTCAACCCACAAAGATCTTGATGCCCATTCGAATGGTTTTTTGCGTTTTACCCTTCGCCGACTGGCCAGCTAACAAAGTCCTAACACAATCCTACCAATTCCTAACAAAGTCCTACCAATTCCTAACAAGTCCTAACACAATCCTAACAAGTCCTAACACAATCCTAACAAGTCCTAACACAATCCTAACAAGTCCTAACACAATCCTAACAAGTCCTAACACAATCCTAACATGTCCTAACACAATCCGAACAAGTCCTAACAAGTCCTAACGCTTTTGCCCCATTTCCTAACCGGCACTGCCTCGCCTGAATTGAACTGTAGTTGGCGCTGTTTTCACCTCTCAGTTAGTTGCTATTCGCAGAGACGAAGTAGACGAAGGAAGAAGGAGACAAGTATTTTTTTATCAGAAATTTAAGACGAAAACATGACGAAGACAGGTAAACCCGACACATATTGGGCAGGCATCATGTGTCAGTATGCCCAGGGAAAGTACAAGTTTACCACAGGTAAGAGGCCGGGCGGTCCGAAATGGAAGACTGTTATTCAGCGAATTGATGCCTGTCCATTGACTCCCATCTACGGGTATCAAGTTCGCCATAAAGACATCTTCGGGAATACAATCCCCTGCAAATGTGGATATCATATGGTAAGTAATTTTTATATTTAACTGAGAATTTCTCTCTAAATTGCGTTTGCAAGAAACCATAAATCAATATCATCCAGTAGAAAATGTTAAATATTTTATGTAATTAAGTAATGTGATATTTACCCCGTTATTGTGCTTTGATTGTTTCACAACTGTTAACATATAACGTCAAATCTTATTGTCAGACCTAGGTAAAAAGTGTACTATTTATTTTCAGTCAGCTTGAGCACACAGGTTCAACAGTGGCATATTTTAACAAGAAATGTGCTATTCACCCTGTTATTGTGCTTTGTTTTTTTCACAACTGTTAACATATAATGTCAAATGTTATTGTCAGACCTAGGTAAAAAAGTTTACTATTTTTTTCAGTCAGCTGAGCTTACAGGTTCAACAGTGGCAGAGAGCAGCTCAATGTCAGAGAGGCAGCAGATGGAGTCAGCTCAGAGCTGCTCCTCTGCAGGGAGACCCCCAACAGACCCCACCTCCACACAATCCAGCTCCTCTGCAGGGAACCCCCAACAGACCCCACCTCCACACAATCCAGCTCCTTTGCAGGGAGACCCCCAGTAGACCCCTCCGCCACACAATCCAGCTCCTCTGCAGGGAAACCCCCAGCAGACCCCTCCGCCACACAATCCAGCTCCTCTGCAGGGAAACCCCCAGCAGACCCCTCCGCCACACAATCCAGCTCCTCTGCAGGGAAACCCCCAGCAGACCCCTCCGCCACACAATCCAGCTCCTCTGCAGGGAAACCCCCAGCAGACCCCTCCGCCACACAATCCAGCTCCTATGCAGGGAGACCCCCAGCAGACCCCTCCACACAATCCAGCTCCTCTGCAGGGAGATCCCCAGCAGACCCCTCCGCCACACAATCCAGCTCCTCTGCAGGGAGACCCCCAGCAGACCCCTCCACACAATCCAGCTCCTCTGCAGGGAGACCCCCAGCAGACCCCTCCACACAATCCAGCTCCTATGCTGAGAGAAAGGCAGCTCTATTAAAGTGTGGTCTTTGTAGCGAGGACATTGATATGGATAGGTTTACTGACCATTTATCTGACTTTCATGCAGAACAATGTTGTGAGCAGTGTGGGGAAAAAGTCACTGGAGCAGTTGAGCTGCTCAACCACATTGAAGCAGCCCATGTTTCAGGACATGATACCAGCATGATTGGGGTTCCACCACCACCACAACAACAACCACCACCTCCTCCACTACCACCCCAACAAACTCCTCCATCACCACAAAAACGTCCTCCACCCCGACCACGACAACCACCACCACCACCTCCTCCTGCCACATCTCCACATATTGTCCACCTGAGGCCGCCGGAGGTGAATTGGTTGAGTTTCCTTCCCAAACAATTCATGCGGGTCATCAAGCCAGCTGACCGGGAGTGGATTGCCCAATGTCTTTATGACGTCACAGGACAGCTGAGGCAACAGTTCACACAAAACTGGTTCCATCCACCCAGTCCACAAAAGCCCACAACAGCACCACCTGATCCCATGACCTACTTTAGACAGCGGATGTTTCTGTGGGCACCGATGCGCATGTGGGGTATTTCACTGAAGTGCCATCAGTGCAATTCAAAGATGCACCACTCCGGGATCTACACCAAGGTACGGGAAGTGATCGACCTTGGGTCCAGATACTACCTTATTGGCGGAGACTATCCAAGGTGCAGTAAGTGCATGATCCCTGTCTGTCCATGGAGTAGCGATCTGTTGAGTCAATTGGATCCTGCCCACAGAAACAGGTTCCCCGCTGTTCTCACCACACAGCTGGCTCTGGACAGGAAGTGTGTGACCATGCTCAAACCACGCACTGTAGGAAACAGCTCCAGTTACCTGCAGCAAGCACTGCAGGAAGTGCACAGTGAGGAGTGGGCAAGGCGCACCATTGAGTACCTGTCTGACTGTGAACTTCACAAGAAGAGGAGTGCTTTAATTCAATGCGAGGAAGCAGTCTATCGGCAGCCACCACCCTTTTGCCCCCTACCTCTCGCACAGTGGTTTGAGACGGTCCATGCCAACGAGATCCTGGGTCATCTGGCTGAGATGAAGGGGGTTATTACATCAACCTATGGCAGGATCCTGAAGCTTGACTCTACAAAAAAGGTATTGACAAATCTTTCTAAAACTTTAAAAAAATCTTTATTTTCATTGTGTTGTTTCATTGTTGTATTTCTATGTTGGTAATAAGATTCATGTTTTTATAGATCACAAAAAAACTTGCTGGCGACATTGCGGACACAGCTACCTGGATGACAAATGTCAGTAATGAGTGTGGCCAGGTACTAAACTGTGTGCTCACCACTGGGGAGGGTGCTGGCCTTGATGATTTGTGCCAAGGAATCGTCAAGCGCTACCAGGACGCTGGGGAGCCAGCGGCAGAGATCATATA